CGGGAGGGAGGGAAGAAAGCAACGAGGGAGCGAAGGAGGGAGGGAGGGCTGCTGACGTGAGAGGGAATGTCGCTGAGCTGTGGGGTCGCAGGATCGGCGGTCATGGTGTACCTGTCCAAACTCACAGAGTCGCATGCCGCGCTGGAGATGGACCAGCAGGGCAACCTGATGGTGTTCCATCACATGCGGATGAGGCTGCCGCAGGTGAGAGCTCGCGCCCGAGGTCGAGGAGGAGGGAGGAGGGAGTGAGAGCTGTGGCAGCTCGCGGGAGGCTTCAGGTCGAGGTGGAAGAGAGTAGCCAAGGTCAGGCTGGACGGGTGGGAGACGGAGCTCGGCGACGGGAGTAGGGGAGGAGGAGTCGCGGGGGGCCGGGCTGACGGGGGGTGACAGACAGCAAGGTGTACGCTTTCTTGAACGGGCAGGTCAAGAGCTCGTCGATCGAAATCAACCTCTTCTATCACTACGCGGGGTCGGGGTACGAGCGAGAGAGGAGGGAAGAAGAGGGAGGATGACGGGGGAGGGGCAGGGTGTGCTACTTCACTCGGAGATACACCATCAGCCCGACGGGAGTCCGTCAGGACATGCGGGTGAGCAGCGCGCACGTATGGAGGAGGTAGACTGACGGTGGAGAGGGAAGGTGTTGAAGGATGGGTCGGATACGGTGAGTAGGCTGAGGGTCGTCGTCGCAGCCGGAAGGGAGGAGGAGGGGGGGAGGGAGGGGGGGGGGAGTTGGTGGTGGTGCGAGGCCTTGGAGGAGGTTGAAGGGGATGACTGGGATCGCAACTTGACAGGAGAGCCCGAGACACTTCTACATCAACATGCCGAGGCAAGGGGAGGCAGACAGAGCCTTGTTGGCGTCCATAGAGGAATCAGATCGGAACTAATAGTAAAGCATGTTGAATCATCGGCGAATGCTGCCGCAACCAGCCTCAGGCTCAACGATACTGACAGCGGCCGCCAATCTTCGAGATACAGGCTTGCCAGAGGGCCATCGAACATCCCGGAGTCCCGGAATGTGACTGCCGGGCCCGGGTGACCGGTAGTACACTAGTCACTGAGACGCACTCGGCAGGGTCACTCAGCGACTCCTGAGCCGGCGCTATTTGATGTAACGGTGACAATAACGGTATTTCGGTGAAACATCCAGCCAGGGCCAGCTGGTCGCTTCTAGGTGGTAGGGGTACGGCCTTGAGGAATGAACACCGGTCATTTTGCTGTGAGAGAAACCGGTACTTTGGGAAGTTTTGGGTAGAAATATGAAGGGGTAGGGGTAGTAGTAGCTGATTGTAGTACCCACCCCGAATCTAATCACAACCACCCTACCCTCCCTAAAATTTCCCTAAAATGAGCACAAGAGGTGGGTCATGGAAGGACAGTGCCGTTCCCAATGTCCCACCCGTTAGTTCAGGGTAACGATGCTGGCGGTGGGAGCGAAAGGAGACGAAGAAAATGCAGCGGTAGGGGAAGAAAGAAGGCAGATATCTCACATGACCAACAGTTCGACCGGGCATGCAGGAAGGAGTAGTCGAGAGGAGAGATGGAAGAGAATGAGATGCACTAACGATGAGCGCAGCAACAGCAATGGTTGGAGGGAGAGAGGGGATGAGAACGGAAGCAGACAGGGTCGGTACAAGATGTCAGAGCAGAATCTCGCGCATTGTTGATGTTGGACTCTTACTTGTGCCATGTTTCCAGATTGCAAGCGATCAATGAGATAGTGCGATGCATTCCACGTTCTCTCCTGTACTGGACCTGGAATTCCGGCATGGAGGAGGAGGAGCACACAAGGAGCCAACTGAGCTGATTGATGGAAAGCGGAGCAGGAAGCCAGCGGGATTTCATGCCAGCAGATCGGCAGCCAGGAAGCTCGACCGTCATGTCCCAAGGAGTCGATCAGCGGCAGAAATGCGCTCGTGCAACATCGCGGTCCATGGGTGCTCGTACGTGAAGACGGAGGAACCCTCCTCCCTCTCCTCCGCTCCCCTTGCGACGTGGGAACGGCTGAAGGAGGCGCTGCATGCGCACGACGTGGACGACTGTGGGCTGATCAGGAGTGAGACCTTCATCAGGTGAGGAAAGGATGGTTTGATTGCTTTCTCGCACTGATGCTCCAGAAATTTCTTCTCTTATGATCCTGGCGGTTTGCAGGGTGCTAGAAGAGATGGACCTTGGGTTGACGGAGACAGAGAACGAGGAACTGAAGCAGAAGTACAGGAGGGGAGATGAAATCTTGTATAGAGACTTTCTGGACAACATCAGCGCCATACTGCACAAGGAGGCCCAGCATGTAGGCTTGCAACAGAAGTCCGGCATCAGAAAGAGCGTTCCAAAGATCCTTTCCAAGTCGACGCAGAGGAATTCACGGGGAACGATATTGAGGCAGGAGACGCTGAGCTCGGAAGACAGCATGCTGATCGCGATACGAGAGAAGATCTTGGTTGCCTGGAACAAGTGGAAGGTGGAGAATGAGAGCAGACATAAAGGTACCAGAGCAAGGGGAAGATGAAGAGGGAGGAAGCAGGGGAGGGAGGCAGGGAGGCAGGGAGCCGGGAGGAGGGCGGGGAATGCAGTTGACAAGGTGCTGTGCTGCAAGCAGGGTTCTCAAGGATGATAAGCTTCAAGAAGGATCACTTGACTGCTCCCACCCGCGTCGATCCCTCGGTGAATCCCCAGCACAAGATCTCGGAGGACGATCTCAGCCTCCAGCTCTCCATGCAGAGACTTTTCCAGGTTCAACCTGTTCCCGTCCTTGTATGTCTCTACCTTGAATAAGGATCTTCTCCTCCTCCTCATACTCCTCATACTCCTCATACTCCTTTGCCCTTTTCGTTCAGCATTCTCCTACCTCCGCTCCTCCTCATCTGATTCCTCGCGCTCTTGGCAGACTTTTCAGTCGATCCTGACAGCCTCGGAGTTCGAGCGGATCTTCCACCAGTACGAGCAATGCAACCTCCTCGCTGCCGGTACCTCATGATGAACTCTGCCACTCCTCCTCCTCCTCCTTCCTAACCTTTGTTGCACCTCGCCTCCCCTCCCTCCCTCCCTCCCTCCCTCGCTTGCTCCCTCCCTCTCTCCTTGGCTCCCTCCCTCTCTCCTTGGCTCCCTCCCTCTCTCCTTGGCTCCCTCCCTCTCTCCTTGGCTCCCTCCCTTGTTCCCTCCCTCCCTTCCCCTTTCTTCCTCTCTTCCTCTCTCTGACATCCCTCAAGGCGCGAGCGATCGGCAGACCTGGAGTCAGTTCCTCCTGGACTTTATCATGCAGAAACCCAGCAGCAAGAGGGACAACAACAACGTCCTTCCCCTCATGCAGACCCTCCGGTCACAGTCGGTGCCTCTCCTTGCCAGGAGGACGAAGGCGAGAGAGACTGAGGAAGCGCTCAAGAACAGCCGATGGCGGCCGGCAAGCGTAGCCGACATGGCCGATGGTGATGCCTGTTGGTGTTTTCTCCTTCTTCAGCTTCCTGCTGCCTTTCAACCACCTCCCCTTCCTCCTCCTCCTCCTTTCTACCTTTACCCACTTCACCCGCTCCCCACCTTCCTTCCCCACCTTCCTTCCACCTCTCTCTCTCTCGCTCGCTCATCCTCCTCCTCTCCTCTCACTTTCTTTCGCTCACTCTCCCTCCTCCTCCTCTGCCCCCCTCACCTTCCATTCTTCCCCTTGTGTCTTGACCAAGGCCTCTGACTGTCTTCATTCGCATGTCCTGACACTGCTGGCAGTCGCTGCGGTTTCCACGCCCAATCTTCCTCCTCCCAGTGCCGCATGGCGCGGAAAAGTTCGACTGATGTAGAGTAGCACAAGATGTGTTCATTATGATGAAACATGTTCAATGATCACTAATCGACAACATCTTCGTAGTTCAAAATCTCTCCTCCTCCTCCTCCTCCTCCTCCTCCTCCTCCTCCTCATCCTCCTCCTCCTCCTCCTCCTCCTCCTCCTCTTCCTCCTCCTCCTCCTCCTCCTCTTTGTCATCCTGCCCCTTCCCCACCTCCTAATCATTCTTACAGCCACCAACTGAAATCTGTCCGATCCATCTTTTCATTTTTCATTCCAACTGGTTCAGCTGCTGGGGAAACACTTGTTTGCAAGGATCATGATGTAGAAGACTCGAAACTGATGTGAGATGCGTCTTGTAGCGATCACTTTCATTCTCTTCTTCACTCACAATCACGGTAAGTCCAATCACGAACAGTCAACGACATTGTAACACAAGGGCAAAGACACAGAGAGAGAGAGGCAAAGAGAAAGAGAGAGAGAGAGAGAGAGAGAGAGAGAGAGAGAGAGAGAGAGAGAGAGAGAGAGAGAGAGAGAGAGAAAGAACGAGAAGTACGAGTACGAAGA